ATAGATAGAGAGAATCCGTGATTCTTCCTAGGAGTTTTAATAGATATCACCACAGTTGAATAGTTACAAAATGGTAATTTTGCATGACAATAACTTGAGCGAATAGGCTGTATTAAACGTATTTTAGCTGCCGTGTTTCCTGTTTATTCGAGATACTAGTACCAAATTTAAAATACCAGTCATTGTCTTTTCTACCTCCATAGTCAGGCTCCTTTTTCTCCTAGCTCAACAGCATCATGTCATGTAAAGAAAAAAACACAAGCACGACACTAAAATCGTTTTCAGTCACTAATTATTCAAGGGCACTGTTTCGCTCGGCTCTGGCAGATCTCTGCTCTCGTTCGGCTCCCGACCGTATGAACGCATTGTAGATAATCTCCTGTTAATCCGTGGGAAGAGCAGTAGTTCGGCTCCGATAGAATGCTGCCGTGTGAACATAGCAATTATCTTGCAGTGAACATAAATTGGCTATAAAAAACATACATACATATAAACTAAATATAGATATGGTGAAAAAAATGTAACAATACAATATTTAGACTGAGCAAGCGTAATAAAGAAAATAAGGTACATTGTCAACTTTTCGTAATTTTATTTGTCATGTTGACCAGTACTAGATGGATGGGCGGAACCATTATATTATTGCAGGGGTATATATTTGTTAACTCACCATTCTGACCATCTGTTTTCTCCATTCCGAGTTGTTTCATCCCCTTCTGTATATCATCATGGTCTAGATCAGAGTTGAATGCATCACTAACAAATTCATTTGTAGGGCTGTCTGGTGGTAACATGTCATCTTCCTCATCTTTCTTGTTTTGTTTTTTATCATCACCGGCGATGTTAACTGCTTGTGATTGGCTGGAATCTGAACAAACCAAAAAGCGTTAAGTTTCTACAATGTTCTTAGCCTTAAAGTAGAGTCTACATGTAACTCTGAACTGCCCTGTCATGCTGTGGTCCTGGTGATTTTGGTATGAAAACAGAGTGTTTTTTACGTATCTGTCAATCAAGACATGACATGTTTCCTCATGTCCTAAATACATTATTGAACATTTGCTGTATTTAAAATACATATAAAGTTTGTTTGCATGCAGCAGGTGTACAAATTATTTATCTCGTCTTGTATGTCCACACAAAATGAACAACTTTGTTCTGTTTCTGTCCAGAAAAAGTAGGAATCATCTTTAATGCATCTGTTTCGACCAAGTGGGTTTATCATGTATTGGTTGCAAGGCTAGCTTGATCTTTGTTATTGTCTTCCTGTTTTAATATTTTTCATTGCATTTTTATCTAGTTTGTGTATTAAAGAATAAAAAGTTGCAGTGACAAGGGATTATTTATATTTCATATTCACCGCTTTTTTCACTTTTGTTTTAACTGCCTTTGTTCCAATCTAACATTGATTTATTTAGAAGCGTTGATTCTTATGACGTGCAGTGTTTCCCCCTTCAAAAATTGACAAATATTGATCGGTAGAGTGGATACAGACAATAATCCAACCTGAACCAAGGGCAAGTACAAGTGTAAACCATACATAATGCTAATTGTATTTACCTTTGTCAGTAGAGGATCTTCTAGAACTTGATCTACTTGTACTTTCACCTGTAATGATGACATGAAGAAGTTTGAATTATTTTGACAAAGTATGCATTTGGACACTTGGCTTATTTTGGTAACTTTCAAATACTCTATGTACACTGTGAATAAAATAAATGATTTTTTGCCAAAAATCTGGTTGCAGAAGCCCTGGGTCCTATAGCTATGGATGTGGACATTCTACATTCTTCACTTTACCACTGTGTGAATGCAATCCTGGGATGAAATGCAATTTTAATGATATCACAAGATGTAATATGTTCATTAAACTTGTGTTTATAGACTGTGCTGATAATGTGGTCATGTTGTACCGGTCCCTCAAATATGTATGTGGTAGATTTTTGTTTTGACAAGCATGAGATTGGGAATCAGCTTTGCTGATAACTAAGCAGTATTGATAGGTACTGTAAAATACTTTATTTTCGCTTGGAATTAATTTTCGCTATTTTCACTGAAGGAATGATTCTGTGAAAATAAAATCCAGGGAATATACCTTTTTTCCTGTATTTCACATTCGACAAAAATCAGTGGAAATAAATTCCATACAAAGCACCAAAAATGTCTTTTCAGCGAAAATTAATTCCAGCTAAAATAAAGTATTTTAGAATAATTCGTAGTACTGGTGTCTCAAACTCACAGGCATCCAATGTAAAACCTGTGGAGATGGTAAACTTACCTGATTCAGCAGCGATTGAAGTCAACTGCGATGACTGTTTTATAAGAGATACCCTGTAGAAATAGTTTTTCCAGAAATTGTGTTCTTTAATCCTTTAAGAAAATGAAACCGCTGCTTGAGACATGGGATGCAAACACGTATACAAGTAAATTTCTTTCACACAAGATAAAAGTACTGTTGATGACATGCAGTTGACACAGGAAGTCTCTGGACATTGCTGTTGATGCGTAAGTGAGAATGCCTAAGTTTGGGCGTATCCAGTGGCTAAATCCAAAGGCTCATCATAATCTTTTGCTAATGTGTTGGTATCCTGTGCAATTAAAACAACACAACTTTCCTCAGCTCCTATCATCAACAACAAGCCA